TGATTTGGATATTGTACTAGTCCTTATAGCGATATTGATAACATTTAAATACATTTTTTATAAATTGTGCAGCTCTAGATATATTTTTCCTTTCTTCCTGAGTGTTACATGACAAAAGTCAGAAGACGGTCAGGTTAGCTTAACTTAGCATGAAGACGACACGAGGAAACGGCTTGCTCTGTTAAAAATAATAATATTCACAGTGCTGTGTCAGGGCTGCAGAAAATGTGGCCCATAATCATTCTGCTATAGAGTAATAATAAATAATAACTCTGGCTGGTTTATGTTTCTTTCATCAAATCCTAATGTCATAGGCAGGGCTTAAGACCCGGATGCAGCCGCAGTGCCTTGCAATACAGTAACAAAGATTGGGAGAATAATACGAAATATACAGCCTAAAGGCAGGCTAATACCCACGCTCTGTTAGTCAGACTAGTTCAAAGGTTAAAAAATCCGCCAACTTGTACCTCTAAAGCTCACTAATTAACAAATGATATCTTGCTTAGTAGGGAGCAGGAACTTTCTGAGTCTCTGCAAGTTGCCTGGCAACTGCACTCAGACAAGAATAATACGATTATTTCCCAAATGTCTGAACTGTGCCTCTGGTTCAGCTATGCTGCATCATACCCCATAAGCAGTATTTCTCAACAATTTCTTGAATGTTATCCAGTAGAGCCAATTAAATCCCCAAGCTACTATTCCAAGTTCTCTGTAACTTCTCATGGGACAGCACATTTCAATTTTCCAAACAATTGCTCTCTGGCTCTGCAGTACTGCCCCCCTGGAACTGCTTACATGGCTACATGTGTTCTTCTGTTGCTTTATTTTAATTAATGATTTCTATTTGGTATGATTGTTCAATTCATACCAAAGGAGGGTTGTGAAACTGTAAATCAATCCCTACGTACTTTGGTATTGGGTCCAGGAATCCACCATTTTCAGATTCTTTAAACATGTACACAGGTTATACACAAACCTGTCTCTGAAGACAGATTTCTAGATTACTTGACTCATTCACAAATAAAAAAAGTCAGGGCTGGGCCATGAATCAATTTTATATTGCTATTGTGATATGAGGCTGGATATTGTATTCAATTTTGGAAATATCGTAATAAGATCTAGTCTTTCTCTACTTTCAAAGGCTGCATTACAGTAAGTAATGTACTTTTCTGAAACTATAGACTGTTTTAGATGCTCTATTATTAGCCTTTAGCCGTTTGGTCATTATAGCCACATCACAGATGGTTATCAATCTCCTGGTGTAACTATTTTGTGTTGGCACCTATGGTCGACTCTACACTACAAGATCGCCACAATAAAGTGTATGTTGTCAAATGTTCTAAATGGTTCTACAACTTTCCACACACATTTTCAAATACTAATGCTATCTGTGGTCTTCGAATTACCCTTCTAAAAATAATTCTACCTGATCAAATCAACCAAATCCTACTGGCAAAAATGTGTTGCACTTGAATAGATGCAGTAGGCAGGCGGGTCAAACATCACAGAGATGTGTGGGTGGTGTGCCCCATGGCGTATCTGTGGTGTATCAGGAGGTGTCATGACGGTAGAGCCTCAGTAGGGCTAGACAAATGTACTGAAGTAGATCAAGATGGGTGTTTTTGTTTCTAGATATGTTTTAAAGAACGAGCCTGGCTCTATCCTCAGCTCTTTCTGGTGGAAATTGTGTCCACTCAGATTAATTCATGCGTGGGGGGGACATAGTCTTTCTGAATCGCCTCACGATGTTGGTCCAACCTGTATCCGTCTGTCTGTATTAGGCTGTTGTTTTCTGGTGTCCTGTCTGGTGTTCATGGCTGCCCATCACTCTGTCAACTCTCTGTGTTTGACTTTCTCTGATTTGTCCATCTGTCCATGTCTACATCCTCCTGACGGTCTGTCCGCCTGGGTAACTGTCTAACTGCCTCTAAATCTGTCTGTCGGTGTGCCCTTGTGTTAACTGCAGTGAAAGGCGGTATGACATTTAAAACAGCAGGATGGGCTGCTGCTAGCCCAGTGTGCCTAAATGTCAGCTTAGCCCACTGGTTATGGAGCCTCCAACCCTCCCCCCCCCCCTCCTGCTCCCTCTTTCTTTTGTGTTTTTGTTGTAACCCACCTTGGACCACCTGTGTTTTCTCACTAACCCCTCACCCCAATTCTTGGAAACCTTTTCACTCCTATATTTACCCAATATTTGTAATACAGCCCAGGAACATTTCTTATGTCTACTAGGGGTGTTGAAATTAATAGTTTTTACGATGCATCGTGACGTGGACGATTCTGCATCGATGCAGGAACATAATCGATTACAGCGTATTAACGTTGCTTCCTGATCTTCCGGTCGCGGCTGGACAATAACGTTTTTTTCTGTCACACAAATATCAAATCGGTCGGTGACGCCGAGATCAGGGAACAGAAGTGACAGCGGCACAGCGACTCCAAACACGGAGCAGTCTGCTTTATCCACCAACACAAGAACACCAGAACCAACAAGCAGAATGACCCGCTCTGAATCAGGCCGTGTCGCTGCGGCTCAGAGACACACATCGATTTATGTTTTTGAAAAACACTCGTTATCGTCATGTCAGTTTTTTTTTGGATTTAATCAACTCTTGGATTGCAGAGTATGAATGTCCTCTTGCTATTTTCAGATGATAAATACGTGTGTAAAGTTTGTGAAGGCAGGAGGAAAGCTTCCACGATCACCGTCTCCTCTGTTCCTCCAAACCCCTCCCTGGAAATAATGAGTGACAGGCTGATAGTAACCTGATAGAAACGTTATTATTCACTTAATCACTCATTGAGATATGATGAAGCTAACTTAATCTCATACAATCATGAGATTTATTTAACATCAAGACAGAGAATAAGTGTGCACCCACATGCACTATTTTTGATATGCTGTTGTAAATACTCCTGTTGTCTGCTGTGTTCAGACTCAAGTCATGTTTGTGATGCCACCCTACCCACTCCCACTCCGTGACGGAGTGACACTCGCAGCTTAACGAGGCTCCCTCCTTTCAGGTTGAGGGTGGAAATACAGCGGCAAGCTTTGGAACAAACTCCCCTCTCTCCGGCAGAAACAGGAAATGCTGTAACTGTGTGTAACAACGGTTTCAAATCAGCATCTTTTGGACAAAAACTAAAATTAATAACTAAAATAAAACTCCAAACATCTTTAATTGTGTGAGCTTTTTTGTAAAGCTCTTTTAGTTTTAAACCTGATGTTTATAAGCTTCTTAGTTTTTGCAACAGTCTGTAAATATATACAACTCTACTCTATAATAAAATGCATAGGTTTGACCCTAACTTAAACAAATATGAGGTTATCATGAGGTTGTTAACATCGCAATTTATCAGTGAATGTTTGCAGGAACTGTTTGTAAACAGCTTGTTTCATGACGGACACACACAGCGTTGAGTCCGGTCAGGTAGGGCAGCAGGTGAAGTCAGCACCGATGCAGCCTCGCTGTTTGAGGGCTTGATAACCCACTCCCCCTCCACACTCGTTTGTTTGGAACAGCACTTAATGTGGCGGACCCTGCGCGCGAACGGAGGGGTAGTGGGTAGGGGGTGGATAGGAATTGGGCCATTGTGTCCTTTTTTGAGCAGAAAACTGTTGCTAGAAGCTGCAGCTAGACTGCAGAAGCAATAGTTTTTGAGGATGGAACAATTTCACACGCAAATATAGGGAGGCTAGACCTATACAATTGGTTTACTTTGGTTTATTATTTAATGTCAAGACATTTATGTTATTGATTTCTGACGCACTTTCTAAATAATAAAAAGGGAGTTCATATTGATCTTACTGCATGTATTCATTGATGAAAAATAAGCCATGTGCAGTAATATAGAAAATTGAGGATGCAACGCATTGGTATGAATCGTGATGCATCGGGATATCAAATCGTTGACAGGATTATGGTAATCGAATCGTGAGACCAGTGAATATGCACAGCCCTAATGTCTACATGAATACCTTTTTTAATTTAACATTTCAGTTGTGTGTCCAGGGCATGCAGGTTACAGAATATGTAAATTAATGCACATTAGTGGAACCAAAATGTACAACTGTGGACTCTCCAATGTTGCATGGGATGTAAATGGTAACACTTTGGAAATGCTAACACACATTTTTCACCATGACCTAGATGCGGTGATCACCAGGAATAGGAAAAACATTTTGTATTTTAAACTTTCATATAAAGAGAGTTGTGTTTCCGAGTCTTTTGTATTTGGGGAAAGGTTCACACAGTTTAATACAGACATGTTTGAAATATTCCTTGACTGAAAATAGTTTAGTTGCTGGTGGTCAAAATTCTGCCTCAGCCCCAGACCAAGGATTCTATCTACCTTTGATCGTTGCACAAGTGCACCAAAGTCCCCAGGAAGTGCACCAGGTGTTGAAGCTAATTTCCTTATTGGCCAAACGACGGTACTACAACTTCTACGCCAGTCACATGATATCATTGAGCCCAAGAATACTTATTACCATACTAACTTTCAGATATGTTAGTGAAACAGCGTATATATTTACATATTTAGGAACATTTACTTTGCTAATGCTGAATCGAGACTTATTTTCCCACTCCATTAATAGGTTTTTCATAATTGTTTTAACATTTGAGCCCGGCTGTGACGCAGCTGGTTGGAGGTGGGGCTTAAGGAAAATCCAGGTGCGCATCATCTTTAGGCCCAGAGTCCTTAAACATCCAGGTACACAAACTGGTATTTTTGTTCTGTCATGCTATTTTGGCTTCATGCCCTGCCTCCAGCGCTGTATCCAGTTCTCTTTATATATGGAGATAAATAAATTGTCAACACACTATCAAACCTGGCTATTCATACATAATTTCTTATTTCATTCTCTATGTTTTTATGTTTCCTATTCATGTCTGTATAAGGAGTATGAAAGCACTGTTGTTCCCTGTCTGTACACAAAAGCAATGCCAATCCTTATCAACCTATTGACTAATTTGTATGTATTTGTGCTTGTTTAGGATCATCCATGAGGACGGTTTCTCTGGTGATGACGTAAAGCAGTACAAGCCTGTCGTTTACAGCAACACCATCCAATCTCTGGCAGCCATCGTCCGTGCCATGGATACACTGGGCCTGGAGTACGGAGACAAAGAGCGGAAGGTCAGCACTCACCCCCCCATGCACACACACACACACGCACACGCACACACACACTCCAAACACATCTACCAGATGCATACAGTGGAATCACATACCCACAGCAACATTTACACTTACATTTGGAAATTCTATCACCAACAGTGTGTTGTGTAGTATTCAAAACACTGAAATGTAGCACAGAAACAAAACACAGCTGTAAACTAAACAAAGCTAAATGGAGATATCATTCAGAATGAACCATTGAGCTTATTCGTCAAATGCTCAGCTTTAGTCTTTAATACGGCAAGTTGCCACTGCAAAATTGCCATGACAAGTCATGTAGTTCAGGGAGAGTTCACAATGTGCCTTACACAGAGTTACTGTCTTTCAACCAAAGCAACAGGAGTCCAGCTCTTGTGTGGGACCTGATAAAGTATCTCAGGGCAAGACACCAATCTCTACCAGCTTAAGGTCACAGCTCCGACCTCTCCGGAAGAAATACGCCTCCATGTCGGGATGGACAGAATAAATCACATTATTTTGATTTGGTCACTATAATTGTCAATCTGTCATGGAAACATGTCGTTGTTACTGTGCCTGCCTGAGCCTGTGCAGAGTTTTATTGTAAATGTAGAATACATCTAGATTTAATAGCAGCTTTTTTTCTAGAGCTGATAATGGTAAATAAGCATTTTTTACATACACTGATAAATAATGCATCCAAAATAAAATGACATAAGAAGGAAAAATAATCTAGGTTATGCCAGTAACTTGCTTACATATTTGGTTTTAACATCTATTAGAAGACCTACTGGGGGTGTAGCAATGTGGACTACACACACACTCAGTCACCTTGCCAAAGGCTCACTTGCAGCTCATAATCCAAGGACAGATTGATGTTCATGGTTAATGCACAACTTCCCCATGCACTGTATACAGTTTGGACTGGTTAAACATTGCCTATTCAGCAGCTGTGTCTGTCAGCAGAGTTGGGCATATTATGCTATCAGCTGGAGAATTAGTTTGGGTATCATCTATAACGGGTGCGTAACATAATTTCTCAGGCAGAAAATACAATCCAAAACAAACAGCTGCATATTTAGCGTTTGCAGATGCTTTATAGAGCATTTAATGAGAATATACGTTGGGATAGTAGAGAGAAGGAAATAATGACAATGACAATGTCTCTTGTGTTTAGTTGAGAAGTAAAAAGAAAGTATTTTCTTTAAGTTATTTGTCATGTAAAAATATCTTCTTTCTCCTTGGCTCTGATGACCATCTTCAACTTTTTGTCAAAAGTGGTGTCAGTTTGTATTGACATGGGTTTTTATTCATATACAGGGCATGATGGGAAATACTGCCTGTCATGCTAGTTCCATGTAGGCTCATTGCAATCTAAGTTAGTCCTGCTTCCAAGTCCTTTAAATCCTAAAGCACACAAGTTTAATATATTATACGCTAATTGAAGGATTATGAGTGTAATCCACAGAAGAGAATCAGTTTTCACTCAATACAGTGCAATGGTAGGAGGTTAATTAGAAATGTCACGATCATGCAGACAGTGTTGCGTCATACCAACCTCTCCTGTCCGGTGCCTCAGGTTTTAGCTCCCAAAACTATCACGTTTCAAACCATTAAGAGTTGTCAAGATGTACATTACATACGTACTAGGGGTGTAACAGTTCACAAACATTTCGGTTCGGTACGTACCTCGGTTTTTAGGTCACGGTTCGGTACATTTTCGGTACAGCTGAAAAAATTATCACAAAACATAAAACATTTTTTGGGGTTTTTTAATTATTATTAAACTGTGAATAATGTATTCACTCAAATAAATACAGAATATAATAAAATAAACATTAAGGTGCAGCATTTCGATGAACTGAAATAATCAGTACTTGAACTGTACTGTACTAGTACCTAAGCAGCCAGCTTGACATTATGACTTGCTTGTCATTGTAGTTTCATGTTTTTTTTTAATGAAAAATTAACTTGTCCACATTGCTTGCCGAAAGGGCAGATCTGCTGGGATCCTGCTGTGGAGAACACCCTCTCGCTAGGGACAGAGGTATTGGATACAGCCAGGTAGTAGGGATGAACGATTAATCGATTTTAAATCGAAATCGCAATTTGAAATGATGCGATTATCAAATCGCAAAGCCTTGGATTTTTTATAACATTTTTTTTTGTTGTTCTTCTTGTGTGTCAGTCATCCACACCAATCAGAAGTGCTGTGCTCCACATGTACCAGCCATTGTTAACCAATCAGAAGTGGCCCATGATAGAAGGTGATTGGACAGATTAGGAGTGATCTTGGATGCCAATTTGACTTTCGAAAGACATATTAGAAGCATGACTAGAAAGCTGAAATATAACATTTTCAAATGTAAACATATTAGGAACTCATTAACCATAGAAGCATCGAAAACCTTTTTGCATGCCATGATACTATCACATTTTCACTACAGTATAACCTGCTGGTCCCAAGCAACTAATGGCGCATTTCCACTGCAGCGGGTAGCCCCGTTTAAGCGTCCTTAATCGTCCTCAAGCGGCCAGGCCAGTTTTTGGTGGCCTTTCCATATAGCGTAGCACCGGCTAGCGGGTACTTTTTCCCTCTTTTTCCGGCCCCATAAAATCGTGGTTCTATCAGGCCAGGGCCAGGGCTGAACTAGTGACGTCAACACTCTCGACTGCTGATTGGTCAGAGAGAATCGTCACAAGATCGCGCGCGAGATCATCTAGCGTCGCATATATATATATATCTAGAAGCAAGCTTGCAGCATTTTTATACACAGCATCTTTGTAAACGGAGGAGCTACAAAAATGGCAACGTCAAAGAAAAGCACACCGAGGTGACGACGTTCCTACATCTCATTGGGGATGATCACAGCGGGAGCTCGACGGAACAACTCGAAATGTGAAAAAAAGCCGACACTGCGTTGCTACCTCAGGTCTTAAACTGTAATGGAAATGCGCCACGGCCTCGGACGGCCAGCGAGGCAGCCCGAGGCCTGAGCGAGGACGCTTAGGGACGCTTAAACGGGGCTACCCCGCTGCAGTGGAAATGTGCCATAAGACTGCTATGAGACCACCTGAGGTTCTTTATAAACAAGCCTTAAAAGTTATGGATAGAAAGTCATTAAAACACCCACTCCATCATTGCAATATACTGTCCAAATACAAACTTTTCAGTTTTGATAGTCATGTTCTACTTTCCTGAGTTCGATTGGTATTCAGAATCATTCACAATTCTACAACACCACCGTTGAGGGGCTTTTTTCAGCTTAGCCGTGAGCAGAGTTGCGGAAACTCCAGATCTGCATTAAATGCAGATCTAACCATCCCTCTGAGGCGCACTGCCTTTGGACGATCAGCATTTTCGTTTACGGCCATCAAGCACTGGAATACTCTTCCAGTTGAACTTAAAACCTGTACTGATTTTAACTTGTTTTCTTATGGTGCAAAAAAAATGATATTAAGCAACCAGTCATGCCAACATTAATTACACTGTAATCTGAGTTTTTTTTTATTTGAACTGTATTGTCATACTATATCTTAGATATTGTATTTAAAGGTGGGGTAGGTAAGTTTGAGAAACCAACTTGTGTGCGCTACAATTTGAAAATACACAACTGGAAAAAATCTGCCCTCCTCCAACACACACGACATGACCAATGAGGGCACGAGATAGGTTTGTGCACAGATGGAAGGCTGACAGGCAGGTAGGCCATCCAGTTATTTTAGCCGGGCCGGCTAAAATGATTGGGCCGGCTAAAATGATTGGTCTTGCTTTTTACAGCGCTACGGCTTCCACAGATGACATTTTTTTAATGGATTTTTTGCCAAAGCACTTAACATTCCGATAGCAATGAATATTTTAAGAGCATTCCATGGAATATAACAAAAAGTGTATCTCAAGCCGGTTTCTCAAACTTACCTACCCCTCCTTCTATAAATAACAGACAGATTGATCCAATCACCTGCCAAGTATTTTTGAAAGTGCCTGCCCTTTCCAAATGGCTTCCAATGGAGCTTTCCTAGATGGTTTGGTGAAACAAAGCATCTGAGTCAGGTTAGTGATGCTCCATCACATGTTTCTATTACAGGGTGAATCTTAAACTGAAGTTTGACTTTAAAGCAACCCAACGGAAGTTTATTGTAAGTTTAGTTCATTCACTCGTAGCTCGGGCTGCGGGGGTGCTAGAGACGGGAGCATGTTGATGCGACCTTCCTAGCCGGAAATATGGCCGCATTTTACAATAAACTTCCGTTGTGTCACTTAAAAACAAATATCGCAAATCGAATCGCAATATTTGTCAGAAAAATCGCAATTAGATTTTTTCCCCAAAACCGTACAGACATAAGGATATTTGGCGTTTGTAATGGCTTTGGCTCGGTCTGAACTTTTTGCGAGTGGTGGAGGCTTAAATGCTAGTGGGATTTGGGTTTGCACTTCAGTAATTTTTCTTTTGGTACTGGTGATATTCACGTTCGGGTGATGCCTTTTCAAATGAGTGTGCAAGTTTGATGTATTGCCAGCCGCGTAACCAATTTTAGTTGAACCATGCCGGCAAACAGCTTTGGTACGGTCCACCTGTCTTTGTCCGTCATCCTTGTACGTAACTGCGAAACCAAAATGTTACCAAACCGGGGTGTTACCAAACCGGAGACTTCAATGATGCTGGAGGATTTTCGAGCTCAACTTTATCAGCGTTCGTCATTTCGCCAGTTCCTCAAATTACTGACTACATTTTAACGCAACCCTGTTACCAGCTCTCATAGTATGCCTCTCGTCCAATGAAATGACTTGGTCGCTCTATGACGCGTTGAACCCAATGTGAGCATTACACTGGGTGTTTCTCAATGTCGAGTAAAGCTGCTCCAGAGCCACTATTTCAAGCATACTACGTAATTGAGTGCCGCCAAAGGACTGTTCCAATGTTCAGAATACTTGGAATTCTACCGAGGCCGGCATACTTCGTAGCGAGAAATTTCGAGGCTGCACATGTGTAGACTCC